GCGAATCTGTAGATAGTGTTTAATTTAAAAAAAAAATTTGTCAAAAAAGTAGGTCATGTGAGAGTTAAGAAAATAAATGATAGCTACATAAAAAAAACACATAGTAAAATAATATTAATATGAATTTCTCTCACGAGAGGAGACTACAGTAATGGGATCCTTGATATTTATTGAAGTTATTGAATCTAAATGAGATAAAAATCAAATGAGTTAAATATTTTTTTCTAACTCAAAAAGAATTAAGAAAAAATTCAGTGCCACAGTGGTGAAAGACCCAAGTGTTACCGTCTCAGAAACCGTACGTCGCAATTGTCACTTAATAAAAATGGAAATTTAGCTAGTTCAAATTTTCAAAGTTATTTTTTTCGACTTCAAAGAAACAAAAAAATTTAAATATGTTTAACTTTTTATACTATGTCAATTAGATTGATATAATATTTATGAAAATCAGTGTAATCCCCTTATAATAAAATAAAATAATACATATGAAGAGTGAATGTGTCAAACGTTCTATGTGCCAAAAAAGTGAAAAATTGTTTTATTTCTGATTTATGTTCTATGTGTCAAAGGCCACAATCTTGTATGTGTTTCAAATGTCAATTAAATTTTTTACTTGTACAAAATTGCATTCATAAATGGTGTTCGTAATGTGAGACATGCCATTGTTACCATTGTTTTTTGTGTTTTCTGAACAAATATGTTTTTGGCACATAGAACGTTTGACACAATCATTCTTCATATATATAATTTATTTATAAACAAAAATTTCTATTGATTCATACATTTTTCAAAGAGTTATAGTAATTTAAAGTTGAAAAAATAAAATATGAAATAGTAAATTTTAACACCAAAATTGCATATTTTTTTATGGAAACCATTTTCACATAGAAGATAAGTCGTCAGGATACAATTTTTTTTTTTTTTAAACTTATATAACAAAACATTAGCTTTATTTTAGTATATGTTTGAAGTTCGGAGTATTCCCAGAATATTTTCAAAACTTAAGTTGAAAAAGTTAAATTGTTGTACGAAAGTTGTAATTTTGAATCTCTTGTGAGACAGGTAAGATTTTCAAAAAAAAATTATATCAAATAGAAAAAAATATCTAAGGTTTGATTTTAAAAAGAATTATTTTCATTTTTTATATTTAAATAAGTTATGGCACTTCATAGAGAAAAAAAATAAAAAAATATCGAAATTTACTGATTTTTAAAAACTTAATTTTTGGGGGATTTACACTAGTATGGGGAACGAGGGCAAAATTTTCAAATTTTTGAGGGAAATGTCTTCAATTTGATCCAAATTTTTACCTTTTGACGTATTGTTAAGATAAATCGGTTCGGTAATATTTGAAAAAAATGTTATTAGAGATCAAAGAATACTTTTCAAAATATATTTTAAGCAGATTTAATATCTGCCATTAGATTTTTTCTATCGCCTTCTTTATAATATTATTACTAATAAGTAACAAAATAGTATTTACGAATAAAATAAATACTATTTAAAATATAAATATTAAACATTTATTAAATATATTAAAATTGTATTCAAGGACAAATTTAACTTTTAATACATAAAATATCGAAGAAACTAGTTTATAATCCTGTAAAATGTATAAACCATACTAAACAATTAGATTTTTAAAATAATACAATTGTATTTTTTTAATATAAATGACAATAACTAATACATTTTAAGAAATTAATAAACAGTATAATTCGGTTTCATAAGATTTTATGCCATCCCATATCTTTAAAATCAATGTCAATGAAGTTTTTACAAAATGTGGATAATTCCATACACACATTATGATAATCGGCTTTTGTATAAATTTTCTTTAAATGATTATTTTTCTTGACAGTTTCTTCAGGATTACCAATAAATGGACTAGATTTCCCAATAAATTGACAGCGTTTTTTACATCGCATTTTATAATATAATTGCCTATTTAAAATTGATCTTTGTTCTATCATATTTTTTAGATACAGATTTACCCTAGTTATGTGAAATTTTTCTAATCTATTTTTAAATAATTCTTCATACAAACAATGAAACGTTTCCATAATAAGATTTAATACATTTTCTATGAATGATAATGAGATATGAACACTATTAACTTCCCAAATTGATGCATTTTTTAATTTTTTGACTACCGAAAAGATTTTATTGAAAAAATATTCTGTACTTTTATTTGTTTCAAATAAGTTTATTATACAGTTCTTGTATGTTAATATATTTGAATCAGAAAGTTCAAATAATTTTAGTTTTTCATCATGGAAAAAGTGTATAATCGGAGATAAATACGACAAATAATTCGAAAATATTTCATAGAACTTACAATTCAATAATTGTATTATGTATTGTTTTTTGAGATTAAAACCATGTACACTAACTGGATCTCTTACTATGCGATTTGCACTTATAACTTGACCCTGATGAATAATTGATATGTGATCGACAGTTTTCCATTCTCCATTTTCGACAAGTATTTTTAAAGTTGTTATGTCAGTAAATCGTGTTAAAGAATATTCTTGTGGATGTATCAGATGTTGCATACTACATTAAAAAATAAATAGAAATTTATTAATGACATCTTATAAATTTACATTCTGATTTTATAATCAGAGAGATTTATCAGGAATATTACATCCAATTTTTTATTTACTAATGATTTTTCCGTAAAAATGTATGAAAAAAGTTTTTTTGTACTTTGTAATCTATGATAAATATCAAGTTATATTAAATAATATTACAATTGTGAGTAATATGCTTAATAAATCATACTGTATTTAGTAAAATTATTAATATTCATAATAATAAATGATATGTTACATGTAATAATATGGGAGAGTAGGTTAAGGTACTTTAACATCCACCTTAGTTATGCCACTACCAAGTAATTTTATTGCAAATTTTTATGATATTAAATGATAAATTTCTCTTACTTATGTGCATTAGGGTTCAGTAACATGTCGAAGTTGAAATTATCGTAATAATTTTCCTTTGTGTTTGTATAAAATGAATTTAGACCTTTTAATACAAAAAGAAAGAGATCATTTTCAATACATTTTTGGGATAAATATTCCTCTTCGTATTTATACTTTAAATCGGGTCGCTGAGGTATAATAAATACTATAGTAATTTCATTTAAAACAGAAATTGCTCTTTCAGTCACATTCTTAATAAGTTCTTTTGTATTAGAAATTAATAGTAGCACTTCGTTTATTTTGGATTGATTATATTCATCTTGATTGCTTGCTAGACACGTCTGATCTTTTATCTGAATGGAATCTATAAAATACTTAACCAAATAAACTTCATCAACTACAGTATATGGGTTACGTGGAATTTTTACAAAAATACGTTTAACATCTAAATAACTCAGAAACCACATTACTTGGTATATGCTATTGAACATCACAGTAGATTTCGTCATTCCAATTTCAAGTAATGATGTGCAATTAATAAAATTGTAAAATAATTTGGCTGTTAAATACTTTTCACATTCTTCTATTATTATATTAATGTGTTCAACGAAAGTCTGTAGTATTTCTATATATTTAAAGTTAAATACACTCACAATGTAACTGAAAATACGCAAAAAATTATTCTCATCAATTTTTATCGCCATTAACTCTTCTGCACTAATAATATTGCCTGAGTCCTGAATCAATAAATCGTTATTTATTGAGTGCCATCCTGTTTGATGACAAATGTAACTTACTACTTGAGTCAAATATTTAAAATATTCTCTCCTTTTCGGAAAATTTTTTAATAATTTCGTATTTTGAATTATTGTCAATTGCATTAAAATTATAAAAATAATAAAATCTCTTTTACGCATTTTCTTTATTTGTATAACTTTATAATGAAAAGTAATCTATTTTATTGCATTTGTAAATTTGTATTTATTAAAATTTAATTTTTATATACAAGACGATTGAAATCCATTTAAAAAAATGATTCAAAATCACCCTCTACTTATTACAAAAAAATAATTTAAAAAAGTCAATATTTATTTTTAACATCAATGTTAGCGTATACCATTAATTTTAATATAAAATTGAATAAATAAATTATTTGTTGACACGTTGCGTTATTTTTAAGAATGAAGGTATTTGAAGTGACTTTATTTATAAATAATCGTAATTTTAATATTTTTATTTCATGTAAAATATGCATTAATTATTTGATAATTAAATATTTTAATATCCGTAGTGACTTTGATATTAGGATAGAGTGATGTACGATGTATTAATAGAATATTTTCCTATAGCAATATTATAGTCCACATCATATTTTACCAGTTGACACGGCCCGCGTCGCTTCGTTATACACGATGCCCCGCGACTCGTGCCACCTTTATCAGCCGTCGCCCTACTATGAATATTTGACTGACCAACACCGCGTGTTATACGCTACGGTGCAAAGTCCAGCAAATGCCGCACGGCCGACGACGACCCGCCGCAAATGGTGCGAGAGTCTTCCTCCCGTTGTGAAAGCGACAACGTCGACAGCCGAACCGCACCCGCGCACCGTCGCCTACAACGCTGCTAACCATTTTGCCGTCCAAGGATTACGCCGAACATCGCGTCGTCGACGCCAGCGAAAGTGCCGCGATATTATGCGAAGATTATTATTACTGTGTTTATCTTTTCGGTTTGTTTTATTTTTGTTAACATAATCTGTTGTCGCTCATTTAATAAACGGCCCACGGGTCTCTACCCTCAAAACCAGTGTCGACCACATTTTTGCGACGCAAGTCGTGTCACAGTTAATTTACTTTTATTAACACTCCACTAATATATTTTATCTTTTAATATTACTATTTCTTAAACAATAATAATAATTGTAATAATTACGGTATATCTTTTGAACAAGTCCGTCTTTATCCAAAAAAGTATATAGACATAAATGACAATCAAATCGTTTATCGTCAAAGATTTTTCTATATCTTACAAGACATTTTTTGGCAACATTCACTTTTGTACACGATCAATTGATTTACAAAAAAATTGTATAGTTACTCTACATTAATATTTACTTATTAGCATGAAAATGTTTATTAACATTAACGCAGTAAAGTAATTGAACAACTAAAAAGAATTTTATTAAATACTGCAAAGGTAATATCACTTTTATGAATGAACATTCGTTGAACATTTTGCATCATTACCTGCACAAGATGACTCTTAAGGACTTGATATAGAGATGTTAGAAAAAATGTATTATCATAACGTCGAACTATTCAATGATATATCAGGGCGCTATTTGAAATGCTTTTCGTTAAGACTGCTTCAGCTATGTCATTGAATCATTTTTTACATGTTCTTTTATAGCACAGTCAAGCACTAAAAACATTAGAATAAGATATCGATGCATGGGCCACTCTGATAATTGAGATGGTATTAAATAAACTAGATAATATCATACTACAGCACTGAGAGTTGTTTACCAAAAAACTATAAGTGAGATGAAATGAATATTAAGTATTAATAATCTAGTAAAATATGAATATTTTGACCATTATACGTAAGTATATTAAAATAAGTTATTTGTTCAAAATAAATAAAATGAATTATTTAATCGTCAAAAAATAATAATATATAAGAAAGAAAACTCCGTGATTTTTGATAAGTATATAGCGTTTAAATACTTAGACAAGTTTTAAAGTATATATTTGTAAAAAGTATCTTGATTTTTACTTTATGTGTTCAGCAGTTTGAGGAATAGTAGTATATGCTTTATTAATGCCCAGATTAATAGCATTGTTTTTTTATAGATATTATAAAAGTATATTCAATTTTCATTTATTAAATTTATACACTTAATTTTATTAATAATACAAAAACTACCAAAAATTTTTTTTGTGGGGATTATATGCGCATTTTTGAATAACATTTGTGATGATTTGTTAGTGTTCTTTGCCCAAAAATTCGTCCCACACGTTGATTTTCACTTACCGAAAAATATTTGCCTTTCAAACGTATGTTAGTTCACATATCAAATTTATTTTCAACTAATGTTTCTTTATTTTTCAGTGTCAATCTTTAGCCATATCACTCAACGACAATGTACAAATTGAAAAATGTTTTATTAATAACAAATTGGATTCGACTCCAACGTTTTTCGGAGATTATTATTAATATTTGATAAGATTATATTTTATTAAATTTTATTTTTTTGTTTAGAGCGGTTTTTTAAATATTTTAAACTTGTAAATATTAATGTTTTATTAAAGTTAGGTTATTAAATATAATTTATCTTATTTTTGATTTCCCCTTAAATATCATATTTTTTAATGATTCTCCTTAGTTATAAATAAACCATGAACAACCCGAAAATAACTTTTTTCTTTTATTTCATGTGAATATGTTAGCAACAACTTCGTTAAAAAAAAATTATTTACCTTAGAGCACTTACAAATGCCATATAAATAGATATATTTCAAAAATTAAAAAATATTGTATTCAACAGTTATATGTATACAACTATAAGCTTATATATGTTTTATAATCATATTCTTACCCCTTTAAGATTATTTTGATTGTACTATATTTAATAAATGAACTCTGTATAATCCGAATGTACCTTTTTTCTTTTACATTTAACTATATTAGAAAATAAATTTTTATTTTTAATTTATGTTATCGATTTTAAAAATACGATTTAGTTTTGATAAAAAAATGAGTTTCTTGATATTATTAGGTATCTTCTCGAATTTACAGTATAAATATTAATTTACGTAAAAAGAACACTGAATCAAAGATAAATTAAATTTTTTTAATAGTTTTCTCAGTATAAACATTGCTTTGGCCTAGATAAGTTAAAAATTGAGTTAATATTGTAATATCATTATTAGTTTATTAATAAAATTAGTAAAAACTTAATGGCTTTAAACTCATTGTTCTCTATGAAAATTATTATTTTTTAAGAAAATGTAAAATATTAAGTGTGTTTTAACAATTGTTTAAATACAATAGTAAAACTGAAGTCTTGAATTATTTTGACATACGAAATAATAATTTCAGATTTATAAATGACGTAAAAGTTTTTTTTAATCACTAAAAAATGTTTTAGTTATATGATTTCACTGTGTAACTTAATATAAAAACTAATTTTATATATTTTTTTCGTTTTTTCTTCGCCTAAATCCAAACTACTTGGGATAGGCCACTCTTATCCTAAATTTCCACTTGACACAATCTCCCACATCATCTACGCTCACATCAGCTGTCCTCATATCGCATTTAATAACATCCATCCATCTCCAACCATCTTTGGTCTTCCTCTAACTCTTCTTTCTTCAACATCCATTTCTGTAACTATTCTTACAGCTTCCGATTCATAATAAGACCAAACTATCTATTTTCTCTGATATTTTCCATGATTGACGCTACACCTATACTCCCATTTATATGTTCGTACCTTACCCTATCTTCTCTATATATATTATCTAACATATATTATTATTTAATTCAACATAATAAACTTTTTTAGCTTTGATGAAAATCTGTGAAGAAATTGGTTTTATGATATGCGCGTTTTTTTGTCTGTCCATTAAATATCTAAGCTCTCACTAAACCGGTTTTAATAAAAATATGTCAAAAGTTAATGTAGTTGAACCTCTCATTACTGAAATTTGAAAAAATCCTCTCAATATTAGTAATTTATAAAAATATCTCAAAATTACAAAACTAAAAGAAGTCATTTAATAAAAGTTTTAACGTTAATAACTTTTCATCCAATAAAAATGTTGTGTTACTTTTCTTAAAATGATGTTAAAAGATTTGAACTACGTTAAATTCATAACTTTTACATAGAGTGCGTGCGGACGGAGTACTCATATATCAGTACTAGTTGTACCCTCCTTTGTTATTAATCATTTAATGTATTACAATAATTGTATCTATTAAGTACTTGTCATAAATTTGCTATCAAAATATTTTGTAATACGATGACTAAAAATGTCTATTATGATATTTTGAAAAACTTAAAAACAAAATTTATTTTTATTTATTTTATTATTAAAACAAATAATATAAAATATGGTTTTAACAAAGTGATGATAATTATTATAAAACATATAAGTATACGAGTTATAAGATCTCAAAAACTTTGTACATATTGGGGAATTCTTTTAACGCAAACCACTAGATTTCTCTTAAAGTAATTACTATATTAAGAATATTATAACATTTTATTGAAATAAATGGTGTTAGATAAAGTAGATTTATACCATAATGTATTTGTGTTACTATTAAGTTGAAAAATTTTAATTTTTTATAATACTTATAATTAATTTTATTTGTGTGTTTGCTATTATAAATAATTTAAAAATGAATGAGAAAAATATTATTCTTTTTTATTCATTACACATTTATTATTTTTATAATACTAAAAAATAAAACAAAGTATCTAATAAATAGATTATTTAATTCTATTTAGCCAAAATTATTTATAGAAATTTGACTTCAGTTCGTTGAAATGACCACATTAAAAATAAACGGGTATATACATACATATACAAAGTAAATCGTTTATCATAATCCACTTAATTATTCAACAAATAATTACATTATCGAAAAAACATAAAAAATTTATTTTTGTTATCATTAATTATTTTTAACTGACAAACTGTGTAACTTATGGAGCTATCAACTAAATTATAGCTTCGATGTGAATGGATTCATTTATTTTTTTGTGTCTGTTACCACTATCATTGTTTACCTATCATTTGTTATTTTTTTTAATAAATTTAACCTAAATTAACTTTTTCAACTTAACTTTTGAAAGAGTTCTGGAAAGTTTACATTTATATATATTTATCTTAAATTAAAGCTAATGTTATATACTTTATTATGAAAAAAAATAAATTTTGGACTTTATATTGTCTTCATGGTAAAAATAAGCATCAAAGTTAATAAAAAAAATATGATTTTTGTAAAATAATTCTTTTTTACATTTTTAACTTAGCAATGCTATAACTTTTTGGAAAATGTATGGATCAATCATTTTTTTAGATACTTGATGTCTTTACCTATCATTTGGTATATTTTTTTTATAAATCTGACCCTTTATCTGCCCACAGGGAGGAATTAAAAAGACAACTTTTTCACAAAAAATTTACTCTAACACTTAACTTTTGAAAGTATCCGGGAAGGTCTGACACTTTTATTTATATATACAGGGTGATTTTTTTATCATAACCCACTCAATTACTTGCAGAATAATAATAATTTAAACATTTTTTTTTTTTTATTATCTTTAGTTACACATTGTTCTTGAATTTTTAACAATGTAATACTTTTTAAGTTCATCCCTTATGCCTTGGAGGGGGGTCAACTTTGTTTTTTTAAATGGTAACACATATTTTTAATTTAATAAAATGTTTGAGTTTTTAATTTAATAGTAAATGGCATTTGAATTTTTAATATAACTTTATTAGCTTATTAGATATAAACATTTAAAGTTTCAAAATTTTGAGTTAATATACATGTATAATACACATGGGATTGTAAATACAGGTAGCTAATTGGATTTTTATGACATTGCTGTCTCAGTCACGGATTGTTTATTATCAATTATGATTATCAATAGATATACTTTCTGTATTGTCAGTTAGTGTATTTATAAACTCATAACAATGTGCCTTACTATCATTGATAATAACAATGCTGTGTACCTGCTAATATCGATGTTATAAAAAANTGCTGTGTACCTGCTAATATCGATGTTAGAATATAGAATTTGATTACCAATTGAGCTCAATCTCTTATTCACCAAAGATATCCGCTTGCGACGTTTGTTCATTGTGCTGTTCATGTTTTAAACCTTGCTATTTCTTATTCATCTTCTATACAAAAAACACGAAATTGATTAGGAACAACATCTAAAGTTAGAGATTTTTTCATATACCCAAAGCGAAAAGATGTGTTGAAAAGTCAAATCGAAGAAAGTCAAAAATGTATAACTAAAAAATCATTAAAACAATTATGTGCGACTAAATGAGTTGAACGTTTTTATGCTGTCAATGATTTTCTTGAGCTTTTTGTGTACCTAATTGAATCGTTATTTATAATTTCGAAGTGGAATGACACTGCAACATCATCAAAAGCAAGTAATTTACGAACATCAATACTGAAAGGAGATTTTATTATTTGTTTACTTATTATAAATAAAGTANCAAAGTTGACCCCCCTCCAAGGCATAAGGGATGAACTTAAAAAGTATTACATTGTTAAAAATTCAAGAACAATGTGTAACTAAAGATAATAAAAAAAAAAAAATGTTTAAATTATTATTATTCTGCAAGTAATTGAGTGGGTTATGATAAAAAAATCACCCTGTATATATCTTAAATTAAAGCTAATGTTATATACTTTATTATGGAAAAAAAAAATTTCTGACTTTATTTTGCCTTCACGGTGAATGCTATCTTTGTGTGAGAATTCTCGATTTTATTTTTTACATTTTTAACTTTATAATGCCATAACTTATTGAAAAGTGTTTGAATAAACACAATTTTTTTATGAGAAATAATATTTTTAAATAATCCCTTTTTCATTCGACATACTTTATCTTAATCAGGATATTAATAAGGAACTAGCAGATGTTATAGCGTTTGGAATAATCCACCAATTTTTGAAAATTAAACACTATCTAAAGATAGATAGACATTCTAGTGATTTTTTTGATAGTGATTTTAATTACTGTCAGATATCATTATACTTGATCCAATTATGCCACGTCAACACTGTGCCGCGATCCACTTGTACTGGTTTTTATTTAATTTAATGTCGTCAATTTCAAACTTGCAAATTGTGCTAAGTTATGGTAATAATTTAATTTTTTTTACCATAAAATTTAAAAAAAATCAACTTTAATGGATTAACAAAATAGGTTAAATATGTTATTTTTCTTATTTTTAATATATTAAGAATCAAAATCGATATTAATTTAAATCTATTTTTTTTTGTTTTGAATTATTTTTTTTTATATGTAAATACTTATTTTTTAATAATAAGTAATATTATTAAAACTTAGAAGTTATAGAAATAGTCTAATTGCAGATTTGAAAACGGCGCCAAAAGTAGATTTAGAAAAGTATAATTTTGCTTCTGATACAAGTTCCATGTAATACAGTTTATAAAACTTATTACTTTGTTAACTGTTATAACTTTATAATAAATGACCTAAACAATATAATTTTACCAATAATTTGGTATATTCTTTTTATAAATCTGACCCTTTCCTCACCCACAGGAAGGGATTCAAAATGACAACTTTTTTATTAGTTAAAATAAATCATTAAAATTAATTCAGTTCTGGATATTTTAATTATATTATAGGCGATATTACCTTTGCAATATTTAATAAAATTCTTTTTAGTTGTTCAATTACTTTAATGCGTTAATATTAATAAACATTTTCATGCTAATAAGTAAATATTAATGTAGAGTAACTATACAATTTTTTTGTAAATCAGTTGATCGTGTACAAAAGTGAATGTTGCCAAAAAATGTTTTGTGAGACATAGAAAAATCCTTGACGATAAACGATTTGATTGTCATTTATGTCTATCTACTTTTTTGGATAAAGACGGACTTAATAAAAATTCATGTTCAAAAGATACACCGTAAATATTACAATTAATAGTATTATTTAAGAAATTATAATATTAAAAGATAAAATATATTAGTGGAGTGTTAACAAAACGTAAATTAACTGGTAAAATATGATGTGGACTATAATATTGCTATAGGAAAATATTCTATTAATACATCGTACATCACTCTATCCTAATATCAAAGTCACTACGGATATTAAAATATTTAATTATCAAATAATTAATGCATATTTTACATGAAATAAAAATATTAAAATTACTATTATTTATAAAGAAAGTCACTTCAAATACCTTAGAAATTCTTAAAAATAACGCAACGTGTTAACAAATAATTTATTTATTCATTTTATATTTAAATTTATGGTATACGCTAACATTAAAAATTGATGTTAAAAATAAATAATGATTAAATTATTATTTTTATATTAAGTAAAAGGCAATTTTTCATTATTTTTTTAAATGGATTTAAATCGTCTTGTATATGAAAATTAAATTTTAATAAATACAAAATTACAAATTCAATAAAATAGATTACTTTTCATTATAAAGTTATACAAATAAAGAAAATGCGTAAAAGAGTTTTTATTATTTTTATAATTTTAATGCAATTGACACTAATTCAAAATTCGAAGTATTTAAAAAGTAGTCCGATAAGGAGAGAATATTTTAAATATTTGACTCAAGTAGTAAGTTACATTTGTCATCAAACAGGATGGCACTCAATAAATAACGATTTATTGATTCAGGACTCAGGCAATATTATTAGTGCAGAAGAGTTAATGGCGATAAAAATCGATGAGAATAATTTTTTGCGTATTTTCAGTTACATTGTGAGTGTATTTAACTTTAAATATATAGAAATACTACAGACTTTCGTTGAACACATTAATATAATAATAGAAGAATGTGAAAAGTATTTAACAGCCAAATTATTTTACAATTTTATTAATTGCACANTTTTAACAGCCAACTTTTTTTACAATTTTATTAATTGCACATCATTACTTGAAATTGGAATGACGAAATCTACTGTGATGTTCAATAGCATATACCAAGTAATGTGGTTTCTGAGTTATTTAGATGTTAAACGTATTTTTGTAAAAATTCCACGTAACCCATATACTGTAGTTGATGAAGTTTATTTGGTTAAGTATTTTATAGATTCCATTCAGATAAAAGATCAGACGTGTCTAGCAAGCAATCAAGATGAATATAATCAATCCAAAATCAACGAAGCGCTACTAGTAATTTCTAAAACAAAAGAACTTATTAAGAATGTGACAGAAAGAGCAATTTCTGTTTTAAATGATATTAGTACAGTATTTATTATACCTCAGCGACCAGATTTAAAGTATAAATACAAAGAGGAATATTTATCCCAAAAATGTATTGAAAATGATTTCTTTTTTTTCGTATTAAAAGGTCTAAATTTATTTTATTCAAACACAAAGGAAAATTATTACGATAATTTCAACTTCGACATATTACTGAACCCTAATGCACATAAGTAAGAGAAATTTATCATTTACTATCATAAAAATTTGAAATGAAATTAATTGGGAGTAGCATAACTAAGGGGAATGTTAGGGTACGTTAACCTCCTCTCGTAAATAATACTAATTTTTAATTTTACTTAGGTTAAATTTTTTTTTTTAATTAAAATTTTTCAAATATTTATTTAGTATACTCTCTTCAATTATACTAAAATAATTATAGCTAACCATTTAACAGTCTGAAGTTATCCCTAAAAACTACTTTTAGATATATTATTTAATATAATTTGATATTTATCATAGATAACAAAGTACAAAAAAAACTTTTTTCATACATTTTTACGAAAAAATCATTATTTAACAAAAAATTGAAGGTAGATTTTTTGATAAATCTCTCTGAATATAAAATCAGAATATACATTTATAAGATGTCATTAATAAATTTCTATTTATTTTTTAATGTAGTATGCAACATCTGTTACATCCACAAGAATATTTAGTACAACCATTTACTGAAATAACAACTTTAAAAATTCTTGTCGAAAATGGAGAATGGAAAACTGTCGATCACATATCAATTATTCATCATGGTCAAGTTATAAGTGCAAATCGCATAGTAAGAGATCCAGTTAGTGTACATGGTTTTAATCTCAAAAAACAATACATAATACAATTATTGAATTGCAAGTTCTTTGAAATATTTTCAAATTATATTTGGTATTTAACTCCAATTGTACAGTTTTGTCATAATGAAAAATTAAAATTGACTGAATTTTCTGAATTAAATATATTAACATACATGAATTCCATAAAAAACTTATTTGAAACAATTAAAAGCATAGAATATTTTTTCACTAAAATATTTTCGGTAGTCAAAAAATTAAAAGAAGCATCAATTTGGGAAGTTAATAGTGCTCATATCTCATTATCATTCATAGAAAAGTTATTAAATCTTATTATAAAAACGTTTAATGATAATTATTTGTATGAAGAATTATTTAAAAATAGATTACAAACATTTCACATTACTAGTGTAGATCTGTATCTAAAAAATATGTTAAAACAAAGATTAATTTTATATAGGCAATTATATTATAAATGGAGAGGTCAAAAACGCTGTAAATTTATTGGGAAATCTAGTCCATTTATTGGTATTCTAGAAGAAACTGCCGAGGAAAATGATTATTTTAAGACAATTGATACAATAGCCGATTATAAAAATGCGTGCATGGAATTATCCACATTTTGTAAAAACTTCATTGACTTTGATTTTAAAGATATGGGATGGGACAAAATCTTTTGAAAACGAATTATGTTATTTATTAATTTCTTAAAATGTATTAGTTATTGTCATTTATATTAAGAAAATGCAATTGTATTATTTTAAAAATCTAATTGTTTTGTATGGTATATACATTTTACAATATTATAAACTAGTTTCTTCGATATTTTATGTATTAAAAGTTAAATTTGACCTACAATAAAATTTTAATATATTTAATATATTAACGGGAAGAAGACTCTCGTATCATTTGCGGCATGTCGTCGTCGGCCGTGTGGCATTTGCTGGACTTTGCTCCGTTGGACACGCGGTGTTGGTTAGTCAAATACTAATAGTAGCCCGACGGCTGATAAGGGTGGCACGAGCGAGGGGCATCGTGTATAACGAAGCGACGCGGGTCGTGTCAATTGAATTTATATTTCAAATAGTATTTATTTTATATATAAATACTGGTTTGTAACTTATAACAAACGAGTTTTTTTTTGTCGAACAGTTAACAGCAATTATTGATAACAGTAATTAACCGATAAATATAAAATTCAACGATTGCTACGAGCCTGACGCTACGTTATATTTTCTCTAGTCTCTAGTTTCTAGCTATATACTTAAATCTCAGCCCTTCTAAATATGAGCCACCTGGAAGAATTTTACGTTTTTTTTCTCGTTAAAATTCGCCTTTTTTCTCCGCCTATTCGGTACCGTTCGACGGCGCTTGCGTCTTTTCCTACCGCCGCTCAAATTTTTCGCTGTCCCCGTTTTCTTAAATTCGTGATTTTCGTTGCTTCATGGAAAGCGAAACGAACGCGCCTCCCACCCGGCCTGTCGTGTTCCCGCCGTTTCGTCATTATCACCGCATTTCCGTTTTTGCGTCGTTTGTTTTTCATTATTTCAATATAATATTGACTGTAATCATTAATTAATGTGATTTTGTAAATTTTTTAGTTCTATTAATCGATTGGTAATATTACAGCGATCACGATGGTCAACGTGGTTTTCGAATCGTTTACGTTTTAACGACGATGACGGCGGTATTGTTTGATTCCGTTTTGTAAATTTATCCGTTATACGTCTATTTATCGATTATACAGGTAATGCATATTTATTCGTTAAAAAACAAAAAAACAAGTGCGTTTGACGACGATCTTACAACGACTGTAATTAATATGATTTTTAAATTGTCCGTATGATTTTGTAATTTTTTTATCGTGTTCCTGTCGTGCCACGATAATTGTGCGCTGCAGATTGTTGGCGGTCGTCTTTATTGGCTTTATCGCACGGGTATTCGTTTTCATTCCGTTAATTAAAAAAGATTAATTTTTTTTTAAAGAGAGTGCATCCCTTTGCATTTTAATCGATTTACTTAGTATTTGTCAATCATTAAGTGCATTTGTATTTTATTTATTGCTGCAATATGTACTATATCAGTCTATACAATCTCTCTCTCTCTCTATATATATATATATTAGGGTGTCCCTTATTTTGAAAATTTTGGAAATTCTTCGGGCTCACCCCCCCCCCCATATGTGTGTATACATATAAAAAGTGACAACAAACAATTTCAGACGATCAGATAAGTTTAACCCGTGCCGACTTGGGGTTGAAAATCGGCCAAAAGGGGTACTTTTTTAGTTTTTAGCAATTAACTCGTAAATTAACGCTCTCACAAAAAAAAAAAATATGTGAACTAAATTGTAGAACTAATTGTTTTGTATAAGTTAAGTCCTTACAGTTTTTCTTTTAAATCCATTAGTTTTCTAGAAAAATGTCAAAAAACATAATATTTCGTAAAATTGCCGAAATTAGCATATTTAAAAAATTTCATACTGCTTTTTGACAAAAAAGAAGCTACAGTTTTTTCTAAAAAAAAATATCAATTATCCAATAGTCATCAAAAAATAAAGATATCAAAAATTATTATACCTGAAATAATTTGTCAATATCACACGATGAAAGAATAAAACGTTTGCTAGGGTTTATTATTGACTCATTATTAAGGAATACAACCATTAATTTTTTTATTTTGTTGAAATGGAATCGTCAAAAAATGTTAGAGCAGCTGTTTCCTATGTTAAGTACCATAAATGATTATAAATTTTGTTTAACGCTGCTTTCGCAATTAACGGTTGTTCATATAACTTTAATTCTTTGATAAAATTTAAGTCGTTATTCAGAGCTTTGGACGGTTCAGTACAGTTAAACCGGGCTTTTAAATAAAATCGAATAATAAAAATACATATATCTCGAATAGTATTTATTTTAAAAGTTTTTAGTAAATACTGTTTTCGGTAAAAAAAAACCTTTAAGCAATATATTGCTTTACTCATCCAACGAGCTTGGTGCATGGCTCCAGGAGGGTGTATTTTAATTTTTTTATCTGAGTCACCATTTAAAAAAATTATAGATAGCTTGAGCAATTCTTTATAATCGGATGATTATCTCTAAAACATCCGATTCCCAACATTTCCCTAGAAAATTGGAGAATATCATTTCGATAATTTTCAAGTGCAGAGCACATTCGACGTCATCTATTCCACAGATCGTATTAGAAACATCAATATTATTCCAATTTTTTTATACGTTTTTAAATATTAGATGCGGTGGTATCGCAGCATAGAGCTTGGACAATATTTAATAAGTCCCAATCATCTAACGCACAATAGCTTGTTCATATCCCGTCGAATTTTTCAGTTTCGGTATACCAATTAATAAATCTAAATTTTTACTAGTTATCACAATTGGTAACCTATCAATGCCTGAATCTCTTACATTTAAAGCTGGTAAAATCTTTCCATTCCAATGCACAGTGACATAAATAGAAGGACAACTTTGAAAATTTTTTTTTATTAAATTAGCCCGTTCAATTCGCATAGCATCACGGCATCTATGTATTGAAGACTTATTTATAATATGAGAATCGACGTCATGGCCTAAAGCTTCAACTGTTGAATTTAACATTTTGTATTTTACGTAGTAATTTTTTTTTTATTTATGCAATAATATTGAGAAGTAAGTATAATTATGCGTTTAAGTCAAACAAATACATCACATTACAATATAAATGAAATATATTTAAATTAAGCAATAAAATTCATATATTAAGTAAAAATCGTAATATGATCGAGTTATTTCAGCTATAGCAATAAAACAATCGGTTCAATGAAATTTGTACTTATTACTTTTATTTCGTAAAATTTAATTTTAAACAATTTTCGTATGAAACATTAGGTCGTATCACATATGGTTCGTCATATATGATGAAATATTTGTAAATATGCTAATTTCGGCAATTTTACGAAATATTATGTTTTTTGACATTTTTCTAGAAAACTAATGGATTTAAAAGAAAAACTGTAAGGACTTAACTTATACAAAACAATTAGTTCTACAATTTAGTTCACATATTTTTTTTTATATAAATATATATATTAATTTTAGCTTCGATGCGAAGCTGAGAAATTATTAATTTTACCATGATGTGATTTTTTTTTATGTCTGTTGCCACTTTTTCTCAGCTCTCACTGGACCGATTTCTTTCAACAATACGCCAAAAGATCACAACTAGATACTAGTTGAAGATATTACCCTTAAAAATTGAAAAATTTCCCCCGCAAATGGGGGAAATATCCAAAAAAATTACAAATTTAGAAATCGGTAAATTTTGTAATGTTTTTCACTTTTGTTTCTTAAAACTTCCATAACTTTTTCAAAAATAAACAAATCAACATCATTTTTTTTATAATAAAACCTTAGATATTTCCCTTTCATTTGATATCATTTTTTTGAAAATCTAACACTTATTCTGCTCAAAAGAGGGATTTAAAATAGCAACTTTTTTACAAAAACTAACTTTTTCAACTTAATTTTTGAAAATTTTCAGGAAATACTGCGTCCTTTAAACATATATCAAATTAAAGTTTATTTTATGTACTATAAAACGAAAAAAAAAATTTGTCCCGACGACCTATCTTCTATGTGCAAATGGCTACTGTATTCAAAAATATGCTATTTTTCTATTAAAATTCTAGGTTTTGTATTTTATTTTATTTTAAAATATCTTATTAGGAGAATATATTGACTTTATGAATATTAAATAATTTAATTGACATAGAGTAAAGTTCATAAGACATAAGAAATTAAACTTATTAAATTTTTTTTACATTTTTAAAGTCGAAAAAGTAATTTTTAAATTTGAGTTAGCTTAAATAGCCAATTTTTTAGCTTCGATGCCAATTTTTCATATGTAAATACTAATTTTTAATAATATTAAAACTTAGAAGTGATAGAAAAAGTCTAATTGCAGATTTGAAAACATTGCGAGAAATTGATTTAGAATGGTATATTTTTGTTACTGATGAAAGTTCCTTGTAGTTCAGTGCATTTATTTATAGTAACAAACAGTTTTTATTGAAATTTATTGTATCTAGCCCTTTAAATTTTTATACACGCAAAAATAAAGAAAAATACAACTTCTTTATTATTTTTATAATTTCTCCGTTTAAATTACAATATTAAATTATTGAATATCATTTTCATACTAAATTTAATAATTATAATTAGTATTTATTCATATATTATATTTTAAAATCAAAGAACTACTAATTAGGATATAATCAAAGAAATAAGAGTTGATGTTGCTTTTGGAATAATCCACCAATTTCTCTAAATGAAACACTATCTACAGATTTGCATCGAAGCGTTTCTTATGATAGTGATTTTAATCACTGTCGAATATCATCTATACTTGTCCCATCTATGCCTTGTCTACACTGTACCTCGACTCTACTGTGCTACCGTTTTTTGTTTGCACGTACTACATTTATATTTGTGATTCCCTTTATGAATATTTCTTATTGAAATGGTTTATTGGCAATTTCGCAGTATTTGTAATAATAATATTGTAGATATATTATTATCGTGAAGGCAGTATTAATTAATTTGATTTTGTAATATTTAGGAGGAGTTTGTTGTATCCTGAGGAATGCTTCAATAATAGCTCGGCCTGTTGGTCAAGAGTGTTGGTTCTAATGGATAACGGATTTATTATACGGATAATTCATTTTTATTTGTTAAATATTATTAGTCGGTCAATAATTAACGTACTTTTTTATGGTAATG